GACAACGACAACGAAGATCTGTACCAACCTCGCGTCAGCTTAAGAAGATCAGTTTATAAGATCACATAAATAAATATATTAACTAATTAGAACAATACATGGGCGAAGAAAGACATCCAAGGAATTGTTGAACCAGCAGAACAATCATGAACACCAACAGGGCAGATTACCACTTTTCTAGAAGTACTAACATAGAAGTGCATTAGTAGCTAGCAGTTTTTAAAGACTCGAAATCCATTCTGCACAAGAAAGGAGACAGTAAATCATTTTTAGAAAAGAAAAATAGACCATCTACTTGTCCTCAAGCATGTAATGATCAGAGTTCTTTATGACTTGTTTCTTTTCCTCTTCTAGCTCATTCGCTGTCTCTACTTGACTTGACCATTTATTGACCTGCGGATCTTTCAGAATAGAACAGAACGAATTCAGCATAATCTGGAATAGAGAGTTGGGTTTTCTAAGAGAAAAATCACCGTTCTTGCCTGAAAAACTAAACTAGAGTACATACCGCGAGGTTTTTAAACAGCATACATTTACTTCCATAGAGAAACAATACAATACAACACTAGCTGACGTTTCGGCAGTATCGCCTTCTTCAGAGCCTGGAAGGATATGCTGATATACAATCTACTAGGCGAAACACTTCAATAACACTTACAAAAAGACGAAAAACTCTATGGTAATTTCATGATCAACAGCTTCTCAAAAACCCATTGTATTGTGTTTTTCTATGGAAGTAAATGTATCCTGTTTAAAAACCTCACGATTGCTGAACAAGAAAACGACGCATTCATATTCCAATGCCGAGGTTAAAAGAAAGTCGATCCTGGGAACTATTAGAGTACATACCATTGGTTCGCACGCTAGAATGGCACGAGGACCCCAGTCATACATGATCACCTGAGTTTCGCAAGGATCAGAGCATTTCGCAAAAGATATGTATCCTGAAAATCCAAATAAGCTCCTGCTAAACTAGACTGACTCGAATCTCACCTTCATGAACAAATTCGGCGGAACTCGTTGGTGAAATAAGTTTCTTGATATCACCGAAAATTGGATCGGGACTACTGTAGGAAAGTCCGAGAGCTTTCTTTAAAAAAAACCAAAACCTAGCAAGAACGAGTAAAGGAGAATATGGAATACAAATATCAAAGGAGTCTGAAAAAAAACAAACCAAGAAACTTATCAACACTGTCTCCGTTATGGCGGACACATTGGTTTTCTTATTCTTAGATGCGAAAATAAACATCAGAATTGCGGAAAGCAATCCCTTCTTGGCTTGGGCCTAAATCAGTGGGAGAATAGTGTGAAATGCTGCCATGATATTACTGTGACAAATTACCGTAGAATCGAGTGGATAATTCTCTTCTATACGCTCCGTGCGAACTATATGAGATTGATTGGCTCGATGAACAACCTAGGAAATAATATACAAGTGAGGAAGTTCGAAGCACAAGGTCAGTGCCGAAGAGCAAAACCGCACTTTGCATCCGAATGAGTGCTTGATAGCACTACTAGCTTGCCTTAACACATAAGGATACTCCTTCTTTGAAAGGCAATGCTCCTTTTGAGCTACAACGTCTTTCAAAGCGCCATCTTTCTCCTAAACATTCCATTATAGTACGAAAATGAAACTCACTCGCAGGATTAGACGGACTTTTAACCCACTTCTCAATGGATTAAAACGTTTTGCTTACAAATACAAAAAAAATAGCTCGGAATGAGGTTTTGCGTCCACTACGGCAAAGAGCAAACAAACCACTTTTTCTCCAAGTAACGTCGTTTGCCTAGTTGCGCGATTCGTACAACTACAAAACCTCCCTATGATAGAGAAATGTCAGAGACTGTCTGTGATGAAGAACTAAAAGCGATCTAATATGACTAGGATTCCAAGGACGCCTTGTTCGGCAGTTATTTAACATGACTATATAGAAGATGTAAATGAATCTCAAGGGTATAAATGTACCCAGAACATGCCATGAAGACACTTTCCAACTATGTGCTATGCACATAATAGCCTCCTCACCTTTAGAACACAAACCTCATGCCGCATGCCACATCAAGTCCGATATGACCATCCTTTAGGAAATTTAAAACATGGAGGGCATCACTCACCAAATGAACTACGAGGCAGTTATCAACTTAAGTATAACCTAAACACTTAATGTTGGAGGAGTTGATTTCTTCGAGGATTGATCCTTTACCCGAATTGTTTATCCTCATCAAATTCTGTCACCTCTCACCCAACTAGCTTTATACACAAGCTGTATAGAGTGTGTCCATAATCAGAAATACCTTTTACAATCATAAATGGCATAAAAGCTAGAACAGGGTAAGGAACAATGAGATGCTACTGCATATTTGATTTTCTTAACCCAAAGATAAGTTCTGAACAACCACCAAGAAATTAAAGCGCTAAAAAGTGGATATCAATGTCAGTTGCAAACATGGAAGAACAGTAATCAAAAGAAGATGTTCACCAACACCAACAGCTGAGGACTCCAGGGAAGCACAAAGGAGAAAAATAAATTAAATAAATTTTAACTTATTATTTACTGCCTACTCTTTTTTTAACGGCAGGGTATATTGCGAAATATAACTTCAGTGATGTTGAGATATTTGCAAAACTCCGGACCGCAGGTGTCTGCGGTGTGAAACGAACGCGCTACTGCTCTTTCCCGGGAGTAACGCGTTCACCACCACACCATGCGGGTCGTTCGTTTCGCCTATCTCTCAGCTAGTTCTATCGATCATTTGCCGTCAGCATAAAACTTCGCCTTCTGCTCTGATCACTAAAAACTTGCAATCCAGAGATATTCTCGCCGTGCGACGAAATTAATAAATAGTGCAGAGTTTAAAAAAAAAGATGAAGCACTCGACGTTGATCAATCCCTGAGGGATATGCCGTGCATTTGATTTCATTAAGCATCGTTGGAAATGATTGGATTCGTATCTGGCCTTTACTTCCTTCTAGACTTCCGGTGGCCTAACGATATATGGAACCAGTCCCACTATCCTCCCAAACAAATCTGATACCAATTTTCCGACTCCGAAGGGATGAAGAGCTTAGTGAGCCCAGGGATGGTTCCCGTGTGCACTGCAGGGCGGCGCCTCCAACCACCGCCCATCATGTGCCTTACTGAGAATCTGCAATCAAATATCGTCCCACGATCCCTATATCAGGACGCATTGTCCTCATTGGATCTACACCACAAATGCCCCTTTCCGTAGAAGTTTGAGCTGTAATGAGAAACTGTCAGGCGTGGTTGCCGGACCGAATAATTTACATGAGTTCCTACGAAATGGCGAGAACCATTTAGCTCTTGATGGTTGACTAGCAAAACATACCGGGTTACTTGACAAGTGGAAAAGACCTAGTCAGGGTCAGGACTTCGCGGACCTTCTTTCCGTAGAAGAAAGATAGTAAGGACGACGTCTGTATCTCCAAATCAGAGTATTCAGCGTATTAAATAAGACTTAGTAACCTTTGCATTGCAAACTGGATTCTGCAAAGAATTTAGTTATATTGGTAATACCCAAAGACAATGTACTAACTCTTATTCATTACTTATTCTTTAGGAATAGGCAATAGATAAAAGTTAAAACATTGTAACTTCGACTTCAGTTCCAGCTTAACTGGAATCAATGCCGATTTGCGCTCTCCAAGGCATTTCGGTTTAAGAGTTGTGGACAATGCTGATGGAACCGTTAGGGTAAAAAATTGGCAGAGAGAAAGGCAAAACAAGGGGCTTGATTGGTGTGATGGATAGTACGTGAGACCGCAAAAATGGTAATTGCGGGTTCGAAGTGCACCTAAGGTTCCGAGTTTTTCTCATATCTCATCATCCTACTCCTAAGGTCACAAAATGCTGGTCAGAATACCAATTAAAACTTCTCTTAACCTTTGCACATTGTGAGAAATTAATGAATAGCGTTGAGAAATAAGTGATCCACTCCTGCATAGCTGAATAAGATGTAGACGTGCTTCCTACATAAAAATGCTTGCTGACAACGATACTCAGTATTCCAAAACGACATAGCTTTTCATTAAGTATATTCCTAGCAGAAGCCACTGACTAACATGGGGCTACAATGCAAAGGGCATCGAGCCACATCCCCTGGAAATGAATCAGTGTAAAATCGGACCAATTTTCGTAGTTTCAATTTGTAAAGATATTCCGTGTTCAAAACCGCGTTGATACGTCTGAGAAATAAACATCGACGGGCCGCTCATATAATAAGGAAAGGAAACAACAGTTGAACTAGAACAGCACTGCAATGTGTTCCGAGGGAATCGAAACGTCCTTGAAGGAGACGGAATATGAAATGGACTGGTATGTTCGCTGCACACACAAGCCAGGTAAGTCTATACATAGAATAAAATTTCAGAAGATCGTTAACCTAGAGGTGAACCCAGTAACTACAGTACAGTTGCGATCACTTCCATAGACGACGATCGGAAGACAAGGAGTGGAAGTGGTCCGATACGCACATGTAACGGTCCCCTAAACAGAGTATTGTGGAGGGGATTTTGTAGTGTAACAAAGGACACTTCTTCGATTTGCATTAGCTCATCGTTAGCGATTTCTTCTTGAAAGAGTGACAGCTTCTGAAATGTTCCTACGCCAACGCCGAGCCATGAACTCTAGAATCACTTTCAAGCACCAATCACTGCAACTCGTCAACATCACCACTGTCGAATCCATACTGAAAGGCTGAGTTGTTTCACGGCGAACGTGCAATGCATAGCCATGCAAATGTATGGAATAGGTCTATCTAACCATAATGAAGCTATGATATTTGCAAAACTACGGACCGCAGGTGTCTGCGGTCCAGAACAAACGCACTATTACCCTTTTCCTGGGGTTAACATGTTCACCACCACACCTTGCTGGTCCTTCGTTTCCCATGTCTCTCAGCAAGTTTTTTACCTACTAATGCCATCAGTAACCAGCCGTCAATGGGTTTGATTTGCGAAACGACGGACCCGAATGGTGTGATAGCGAACGCTTTAGCCCCCGGAAAGGATAATAGCGCGTTTGTTCCCCACCACAGACACCTACGGTCCAGAGTTTTGCAAATATCTCAGCTTTATTATAGTTGCATTTCACATAATACCACGCCAGGTGTGAAGAATTGTAGTAGGCAGTAAATAAAAAGTTAACATTTAGGTCAATTTAGTATGAAAACAAATGGGAATAAGCGTTGTAATGTCGACTGCATATAAGTGGTACTATGGACAAGTGCCAATTCGCCAGAAACAAAGTGATCAACGAAGAAACCAATTCTGAGCATTTTTTTCTCCAAACGGAACATTAAAATTCCTTACATTTGCAGTCGCATAGAGCAGATGCCGAGCGAGTCGACCAATTTGTGAAGCTTTGCCTTCTTGTGAGGACGGAACCTGGAAGAAGTTCTCTGGTTCGCACTCTATACAAATCAAAGCACGAAGTCGTAGACAATCAGTTTCTATAGAAAGTACGAAGTCAGCACCTCTTCAACTTTAAGTTCAGCTCGAGTGTCCTGTTTTCCATCAATCCTCGAACGTACAGGCCTCCTTGTATGTCGTCGTCCTTGAGACGCAGTCGAAGGAATGTCTTCATCAGATGACATGTTTGTAAATCACGATAGAACTACCAAATCCTGTAAATACGCATATTTTCAAATGAATTCAAAAGTAAACATGTTTCCAAGCAGGGGACAAGGATCTGCTCAAACGAGTCCATCGGCAAAGTCTGCACTAACATAGGATATAGACCCAGGATTCAAACGGCGATCATTCGGCATTCAGATGGCGATTATCAGGCATTCAGATGGCGAGCATTCGGCATTCAGGCAATGATCATCCGATATTGACGTACTCCAACATTCCTCTATCATTAATGATGGATCCCAAGCAGTGTGAGGTGGAATTCAGTGGGATCTCAACGCATCACTCCACTCCGCTCCTCGTCCAACACAAGTAACCACTCCAAAATATTCTCTAGACGATAGCAATGCATTCAAAAACCGGAGTGCCAGATCAGCTGCTGTGTAATTGCGGACCGTCGAGCATTCTCGGATTCACGAAGAGGTTTTGAATTGCTAGCTGGCAGTTCCAATCTGCCGAGGATTTCCACAGGTATGATCCGATTCCATATTCGAGCTGCTGGCTTTTCGATCCGTGCTTATTCTGCCGAAGCGGCTCACATCAAAAAGGCAACTCACGTCGTCATACCACCCGCTGTGAAGGTTAACCGTTTGTTTCTTTTCTGAAAATAGAAATGGAATGTTTCCTTTTCAACATCTTTCCAAATATCTGACGTATTGATCAGTACTGAAATAGAAAACGCATTCAAGTTTCTCATTCTTAGCGTCTAATTCTTCAGACCGTAAGGACAACTCGTCCTTAGTGAGTCGCGTTTTTTTCTCGGCAATTAAAATTTGAGAATTTCTTAACGCCCTGGAGTCACCCATTTAGTGGAGCTAAGACGTCACTTATTCAGAATGCTACTCCTGTTTTCCTAAATTGCGCTCAGGTTTTATGTAAGCGTGCTGATAGGAGCGGTAAAGCTTGTGATATAGCAGTACTTGAATACTTGGATACTTGGATGGCCCGTCCTTACTGATTATGCGGGCCCCAGTGTAATCTCCGTTTTTTCGGAGCCTTACTAGTTTTGCCATTGTGGTTCCCTGGAGTCCCGATTTCAGCCTTGTCAAAAAGTCTACCCCGGCTCGTCACCACCACAAGCAGTCGCTGCCCTTGTGGAGTAGAAGGAGATCTGCCACTGTGCAACTAGTTTGTTACCGGGACGATGGTGGATGCTGGTACTGGTTTACTCTTAGCTGGACTTCCTAATGGAAATGCCGGACTTCTCAGCTTGCCAGACCTCACTGAGATGAATCCCCCCTCTGTACATCGCAGCCCGATACCCAGGAGCACCTGCAAGCCATGAGGCAGTAAACCGTTGGGAGGACAGTTAGTACACATTGTCTGTTTCTAGATAGGAACATTTCCTTATGCATTTGAAATTTGGACCAGGTGGGTTGTCTTCTTATGTTGGGGAAACGCTGGGGTACAATTTTTCAGTTCCCTTTCATCGGTATTAATAAGCATGCAATGAGGAACGTATATGTTAAATAATTGTGTAATGACGATTCTGCATATTTTCTCATTTTCGATAGGTAACGCAGTGGTTAGAGGTGCCATGCAATATACACGTGGCCTCTGCTTCGATCCTGCTCCCTAGGCTCACTAAGTCCTCCATCCATCCGGAGGCGGCAAATTGATACTATAGTGGTCTGAGAGGATAGGATCGATACATTAGTAGGTCTGGTAAGTCAGTGTACAGGCCAGATGTGCATTCAGTCATCTCTAACGGTGCTTGGTGAAGTTAGATGGATGGCGCATTCGTAAGGGATTCGTCAACGCCGAACGCTTCATCTTTTATCCTTTTTTTCATTTTAATAGCACTTCAATTGAGTTTTTGAATTTGTTTGAACGAATTAATGTTTGAGTGGAGCTTTGAAAGGAACTTAAACCTGATGTCTATTAGTGTCTTTTAATTCTTTCTCATCTCCAGGGAAACCTGTCAATATACATTAATTGACTAACCATAACGAGTTTAACTTTTGCAAAGAAACTGACAAAAATCGAATCGTGTTTCTTCTAGCGTGGACCCGTTGACATGCTACGTGCTTTATCAGAAACCGTCGGCGTTGACCCCACCGCACCACATTTCGGTTTCATTGACGATCCAGCTATGATTCCTAGTACTGCAGCTAATAAAAAGAACTATTATTTGGCCAAGGTTGGTTCGCTTTTTCTTATAATTTTTTTGAGGATGAATTGCTACCTGGGCTGTCGTTCTTGCTGTTGTAAAATATGCGAAGAACTACCTATTTCACCTTCAATTTAGTTAGTCATGAAACTGGACGGTGGTATCAATCCCTTCCAGAAACTTTTTGATGGTCTATGGTTACATTACCGGCCATTTCCATGCGTGGGTGAAGAATATAAAGGATAATTTGTTGTGTTGTTCAAGAGTATGTGTTGGGGTTATTTGCTGGAAGCAGTTCCGAGCTGATCACGTATATCACTGTCCCTTTATTGTAGGCTTTTAACCGAATCAGCGGGCACGATTCGGCACATATCCGATGCAAAAAGCATGTACTAATGAGTATGGTTACGCGTTTACGGAATGCATAACTCAGTCTAGCGTTACCAAAACAGTGCCCCATTTCCTGAATCCATCTGTAGCTTAAGGCAGCTGCATGATTGTTCGTGGTCTTTGCATAATTACTTTCCCTCTTGCTGAAAGCTGGCGACGGAATCTCACGATTAGCCTGCTCGATGCCTCTCTTATCGTTTAGGAAATGGGAAAACGTGCTGCACGTCAGTTAGCAGAGGAATGGCCAACCTTGTTTGCGTTCGATCGTGATGAACCATATTTACCAGCATTTCGTCCTCAAAAGCCTGCAGATCCGTTGCAGGTATGCAACGTATTCATTTGAAAGTTTGCTGTACCGCTGCAATAGAACGAATTATTTCACCTACAGGTTGCGCCTACCGAAGAGAATATACTTTCGATGATTGAGAAGCGCAGGGTACAGGATGCTGTAATATTGTACGAGCGAATGCAATCGGAAAACGTAGAGGTTTCGCAGACGACGCAGGCACTCTGTTTTTGTTATAAAGTCTTTCCTGTTGTATTTTCATAGAAAAACTTTCTCTCCTCTGATTTTTACTTGAAAAATCTACTTAGAGGGTGGAGAATTTCGCTTTGGTAACCTAAATTGTAGTTGTTAAAAACCATATATGCTTATTTTCATAATTGAGTAACCTTTCTTGAAAGTTCACGTGAGTCTTGTTAGAAGACGGGTGCTTATCATCTTCTTAAAGCGGAGGAGGCGTAGAGAATATTCCGAAGTGCGGAACAATGGTACTGTCATTCCCAGAAGTATGTTTTTTTTTTTTACCATTTTACTATAATACCATAGTTCCGCACTATTCGGGATCCTGTTACGATTTCGATCTGTTTTATTCCAACGCGATTAGTGTTCATGGAAGTGGTGTGCTCTGGACATGGCGCATATAGGAAGGAGTATTCTGAGATTCATAAATCGCACATCTGGTTCACATCGGCTACGAACACGTCTGCTGCCTCAGTTGCTCTTCCGATTTGGGAAGCTTGCGTCTTCTTGTCGAGCGTTTCCCTATTCCATTTTTTTACATTATCTTCTCAACTCTCATGACTTGCTTTTGCGTTTAGAACTATTTTTATTTGTCAAGTATCTGAGCTATGAAGTCTGGTTTATTGTTTATGTGTCGGATATGTGGCCCAACGCTTTGTGTCAGTGCAAGCTTTTAGCGTGACATTGAGCCGCGCATCAGTACTATTCCTACTAGTCTCGAAATTATGGTGTTTTCGTCAGAACGAGAAGTTGTTAGGAGTCATTGACAAATGAAGACGTACACCCCTTCTATTGAACAACCTCATCGCTCAATTCAATGCACTGGTGGAGAGCTTCGGTGCAATGATTTCATGCTGTGGAGCACCATTTTCATATGTCATTGATGCAGTATCGATAAAAAACACTGATTTTTCGTTATGAAGTCGTTGACAGCAGTCATAATACCTAGGTAGGGTAATTCCACTTGTTCGACAAGTGGTGGTAGGATGTTTCTCGTTTCTATGGTAGGTTGTTTATCGTGCTCATCAGGGTTGGGTTAGCACAGACAACAAGTAATATTGTTGGGAGACCTATATATGACTGGTTATTACTTTTAGTTGCAAATAAGTATTACTAGCGATTGTTCAAATCTTGCTTGCTTATGTAATTTGGCTCCGTATGGATACCTAAGAAATGTTACTGTCTTTGCGAAGCTCTGCTCGAACGGAACCAGCCAATAAATTGGACGCTTGTTGCGCAGGTGCCTATTAATATTTCTAGAAAAGGATGGTTGTAACCACATGTAGGCAAAAATAAGAAAAATATAGTAAAGAGTTCTAAAATGGCGAATAATGCTGCATCTTATTAATGGCCAAGAAACTAAATTTCTGACTATGCGACATTTAGATGGAACTTTTCAAGCTTGTAACTTACTACAATAGTAAAGATATTCCATTTTCTGAGTGGGAAATGTGGCATGGATTGCGCATGTTTGGTGAAGATGAGCCAAATAAGTGGACATCGGTAAGTAAGTACATTCATCAGATTCAAAATGAAGCCGTAATCGTCTTTACATTGCATAGACGACTTCAGGCTGGGATTGCTGAGCTCTTATTCGAGACCTTACCACGTACTGCTGAAACGGTTTCAATTTTAATATCAGGTTTAATAAAGTGAGTTGGTACGTTTGGTCTTATTTCATTCTTTTGCTATTTTCTCTTTTTTCTTTGTTCTTTTCCATCTTTTTCACGAGTGAGTGTGTTACTGCTGTTTAATTTATAGGTTTTCAACTCCTGAAAGTATATCACGAGCAAAAGAACTACATGAAGTATGACATTTGTTGTGTTTTGGTAATTACTTGCATATTTTTTACTAGACATTCAAGGAATTTTCGGGCGATACTTTATATCGGGAAGCTTATGAAGCGCTAATATCCGTTTCAAGTTGGAATGACGCCCAATTGCTGGTGAAAGAAATGGTCACAAAAAAACTGAGGCCGTCGCTGGGCACATGGCATTCGTTACTTTTAGCAGCAAGTAAAGTGCGCTGGCTCTGTCTATTCTGTGTCTTCATAGTTTTTTTTTCATGTATTGCTGTGTTGTATTTTAGATTAACAACATTACGGATCGACTAGTTGCGTTTGAGAAAGTGTTTGGAGAAATGGTGTCTCTTAGTTCCGTTCCATCACTATATGCTTTCCATATAGTTTTCCATAGCATGTCTGAATCATTATTTACTGATGAAGTGAAAGACGACGGGAAACAGCGCGACGCATTTCTGGTTTGGAATCATTACTTTTCTTTTGTCCTTTTTCTTTCTTTTTCAAATCGGGATCCTGAGGAGTTATCTCACTAGTTGGATATTTGGATGGCCCGTCTTCATTGGTTGTGCGGGCCCCAACATAATTTCCACTTTTTTGGAGTTTTGCTGGTCTAGCCATTGTGGTTTCCTTGAGTCTCGAGGTTAACCAGGCTAAAGTCTACCCCCGGTCGTCACCACCACAGGCAGTCGCCGCCTTTGTTGATCAGAGGGAGATTTGCAACCATGCAACAAGTTTGATACCAGGGCGGTGGTGGATTCTGGTACGGGGAGTTATCAGACCTCTCATTATGGAGTATATTGAAAAATTTTACATTTGATCAATTTTGTAGCGGATAGGAGTCTCTTGGATCTCAGAGGTGTTGTCGGAATTGGAAAATCGTCCGTTAATTGAACCTAATTTTATTGGAGATCACTTATTTTTCCTTGACGCAATGGCAATCATCTATCAGTACGTTGTTCTTGATTACTTTGTTGTGTCCCTTGTCTTTTTTCTTTCATCAATTTCCTGTTATAGTGCTGGAAATTTGGCGATAGCTGAACGAATTGTGAGGGTGTATGAGAGTTCTGCCAACAAAGTGAAGATGCCAGCTCTGACAGCTGAAGGAATGTTGGTACAGGTTTAACACAAAAGTGCGAACAATCAGTGATGTCCGTAAGAAAAAGTGCTTTTGCAGATTTTATAATCGGTACCTTCTACTTTTTATGGAGCGTACGACTTCAATGGAACAAGTCGAAAAGAAGTATAAGGAGCTAGTTCCACGTCTTGTAGGTGTCTCGAGGCAACTGACATTGGCTCTGACTGATAAACTTAAGGTTTGTTTGCCGTTTTTTCTCAATAGGAGGTTTTCGAAGTTCTACTTAATACTGCGCTTATCATTTATTCATAACATTTAAGAAATCTTTGGGCAAATCCCATAACTACAGGTATCACCGCGTTGGACACTGCTTCAGCGGTTGATTGAAGACGGCATATGCGCTCGTCACACGGTTGATTTTCGTGTAGCGCAAACTTTTAGAGACCTTCTGATGGGTGTCCAATATCAGGTACATGCAAAGCTACCGTTTTTGATTTTCTGGATTTGCTTGAGTAGTTGATTATAGGCTCTCTCCTTAGAACATCGTGAAGAATACGCTAATGTTATTAAGAGATTAGTTGACATTTGGATTGAGTTTAGTCGTTTTACTGATGAGAAGCACAAGCGACTGCAACTGAAATTATCACCTAGTGTGGTTAGCCAATTGTTATTCTTTTTCTTTTGCGTTTTTTTTCATTTTGTTTTCTTTCGTAAGTATTATTTTCTTTGTATTCTAAGTATTACTCATCAGATTTCTGAATGTGCGCTTTTGCTCAACCGCATAGGTGACTCTAAGAGAGCTTACCAACTCCTTGAGATGCTTTTGAATCCCGAAACATCTGAAGGAGAAGAGGCGACAGTATTGGACACAGGTCTACTTTGTTTCCTTTTTTCTTCAAATTTCATTATTCTATAAAGGATATAATATCGATGGTTGTGTTTAGGTTATGCTAGACATAGCGCTATGTATGAGCTATTTGAAGATGCATTGCGAGAGCGTGATCCATTCAAGTGTGTTGTTTTCCGTCTAATGTTGCTTTTGTTCTATATATTATTATTATTCAACAGTTGTAGAGCTGCAGTATGTCTGGAGATCATGAGCAGTAGCATGACACGAAATAAATTGGAGCCCCTAGTGCAGAAAATACATGACAGGTAGGATGACACCGGCTTTTCTTTGTTTGTTTTATAGAATGGATTGCACAATGTTAACCTTTTATTTGCTGCCAACTATAATTTTCACGGCAAGGTATCCTGTGTGGTACAACCACAATAGTGCTGAGATATCTGCAAAACTCCGGACCGCAGGTGTCTGCAATGGGGAACGAACGCGGTATTAACCTTTCCGGTGGCTAACGCGTTTAGCATCGCAGCATACGTCTCCTTCGTTTCCCCTGTCTTCCGACCAGTTTTCTATGGACCAGTACCATCAACAATCGCTCATCAACGGAATTGACCTGGGGATTGTAAATGGACATTGAACCCACTTAATCCCAGTTAGTAGTTAATTCGGATGTGGCTGTAGGGAAGTAAATGTTAAATGTTAGGAATCGACTGCATCACCAGAAAATTTTTTTAGGTGTTTAGTAAAATTCCACGTGTACAGGAGCTCCTCGTTGTGTTGTTATCATATCACTTGTATTTATCTTCTATTAGGTTATTTTTAGATGGATAAATTTAGACAGATTTCTGTCGGATCTGGTTTTAGGAAGTAAACGTTAAATTGTGTAAGGGTAAAAGCGGTGGAATTCCTGGTCTCATTAGTAGTTTAACTGCAGTAAAGTGAACATTTAGATGCCATCTGACGGAAGATCAAAGCAAAATACTGCATGGATTTGTTCGTCTACGACCACAGTAGCATTCATGTATATCGCTTGTTGAAATGTTTTTGATGTTTACACAAGATATTTATTGTTGATGCCAAATTGTTGTAAAAGAGATGTTTGTCTCAGGTGTTGTTGTAATTGTACAGGTTCTTCAGCGACCTGATTTGCAATGGTGCAGCTTCCGGTCAAGCAGTTGCCATGAAAGTTAGCGTATTCTGATTTAATACTTTAAAATTAGTGAGTAGTTAGGACGTTTTTACGAGTCCAGCGTATCGTAGCACGTTTTAGATTTGTTCAGTATCCCTTCAGTATGTTCAGATAAGCAATATCCCTTACACCTGTCGTACGGACTGTATTGTTCGTGTCATTATTGTGTCATCAGTATATTTCATTTTGTGATTTACAATTTCTTCCCAACGGTTTACCGCCTCATCGTCGCTGGGAGGTGTTCCTGGGTTCCGGCGTTAACATCAGGAATCCTAGCTAAGAGTAAACGAATATCAAGATCTTCCACCGTCCTGGTTTTAAACTAGTCGCATAGTGGCAAATCTCCCTCCGATCCGCAAAGGTAGCGACCACCATAGGTGGTGACGACCTGAAGAAGACTTAGGCTAGGGTGACCTCAGAACTCTAGGGAATAACAATGGCTAAATCAGCAAAACTCCAAAGAATGGAGATTATGCTGTGGTCCCCTCAAGCAGTGAGGATGTCCCGTCCAAGTATCCAAGGATCCAGATAACTGAAGACAAGAAGAGTTCGTGGGTTGTGGACGTGAATAGATTGTAGAAAAGAATTTGCTCTATTGTTCTATGGGAATGAATGGTATTTAAGATGTTTGCTATACCTTAGTATGGTCCATCGTACGAACACATTACTGTCAACAATTTTTACAACTTATGAGTCTGTGTTTTCGTATTTTTCATACTCTCACTCTATAAGATAATTGTCATTCAGTATAACAATTAGAATTGAAATAGTAGTCGAATAAAAGGATAAAGGATAAAGCTCTTGGCGTTGATCAATCACTGAGGGATGCGCCATGCATTCGACTTCATCGAGCATCGTTGGAGGTGACTGGATGTATGTCTGGCCTTTACGATGACTCGCGGTGGCCTACCGATGTATTGAACCAGTAGTGCTATCCTCCCAGACAAGTCTCGCACCGATTTCCTGACCCCGGATGGATGGAAGGCTTGGTGAGCCACGGGCACAGGGAGCGATCTCATGTGTGTATTGCAGAACGCTATGGTAGTAGCGACGTCATTGTGTATGTAGCGCTAGTCAGGTACTTGGATGGCCGTCTTCACTGGTGGGGTGGCCCCACCAAAATTTCCCTTTTTTAGGAATTTGGTTGGTTTAGACACTTTGTGGTTCCGTGAATTCCCGAGATCAGCCAGACCAAAGTTACCACATGTCAACTCCACCACGGGCAGTCGCCGCCTTTGTGAACCATAAGGTGATTTGCCACCATGCATATAACAAGCTTGATGTCAGGACGGTGGTGGATCCTGGTACGGGGGAGTAGGAATTTCAGGAATGGATAAGGACTAATACATGTACACGGACATGGTGGGTGAGGTGTTAGCAGCTCAGTAAGAAAGCTACCTATCGGATTTTGTGAGAAATCCCTACCCATTGCGAATTCCACGTTAGTGAGAGAAGTCTGTAAGTTAGGATGTCTTCGATTTCGATCCAATGAGTGCTGTTCTGTGGCTGCAGGATTTCAAGATGCTACATTTGCTAGCACAGAACAAATGCGGATTCTACAGATGACTTAGTGGAACTACAAATCAAGCGTTTCTGATAGGTTTAGTTGGAAGAAGAACTTGAATGGAACGAAAACAATTTTGACGAATCGTACGGCAAAGTGGATTTCCTGTACGATGGCCAGGCTTCCATCGTTATGTGATGTTGCTGACGTATGGTACTTCTGTAACAAACGCTATGCCGATAGATTTTTCTTCCAGGCAATTAACGAACAAGCCCGTGGACTCCAAGGATATTCCTGGATATGTGTACGACTTACATTCGATGATCTCAGTTCTATCAGGTGTTATAGTGCAAACTTCTACAACAGGTGATGTTTTATTCGTGAAGAACAGATATTTAGTCAGATAACTACTCAATAACAGATGACGGCTCCATTTGTTCTCTTATCAGGAACCGCACGTGTAGCGCGGTCGCAGGCGCCCTGCAATACACATGGGATCGATCCCCGCGCCCAGACTCACAAAGCCCCTCCTTCTCTCTGGGAACTGCAGATTGGTGCCAGACTTCTTTCTCTCTCAGGATAGTACACCGGCAGGCCATCGCTATTCATTGTAAAGGCCAAATACGCATTCAATCAACTCCAACGATGCTTAATGAAGTCGAGCGCATGGCGCATCACTCAGAGATTGATCAACGGCGAGAACTTTGTGAGTTCTATCCTTTCTTTCGTGCCATAAACTTACCTGTCCAAACAACTTCATTTCACTCTAATTTTACAAGAACTGAAAAGAAAAAAGAATTAGAACAGTCTTTCAGAATGACAGTACAAATGCAACGACTTGGATCCACTGGCTAGGACTGACACGTTCGAGTCAGCAATAGCCCTGACCTCATTGCGGGCAGTGATCACTAGAGCGAGTGTACGTGCAGGACTCAGGATAGATAACTGCATTGAGTGTTCGACGTATCGATTTGCACTTTACTCCCTGTTCATTACTGCTTCCCGTCCATACAGAACGTCTGCGGTTTCGATGCGACATGGTCGTCCGTCCATCTCCCAAGTACTTTCTTCAGAACCTATTTACCTTTAAGTAGTACGTATGCTCATCAAGCCATGAGAATTCAAGCTAAGTGCTAGACAGCTGTCTTGATACTTTCCTCTGTCACTAATAATAAATAATGACCTTTACTGTATTTCTGAGTCAATTTTATCAAATACCAGGTTGTAGATCTGAAAGACAGAAGGGTTCGACTGATAATGATCTAACATGTTACTATATTTTCTTTGATTTGTTTATTATTCGTTATACTTTCGTTGAAGGAGAAATTAGATTCAGGAAGGAGAGCGCAATATCTCGCACTCAGGGCTATCAGAGAACCCACTGGCCAACTAAAGAACCCGAAAATCCACGCCCACGTCTTCAGTTCAATATTCCTTCCAGCAGAGTTGTGCGCTGACATCAAGAGCCCTGCGCACCACCCACGCAGCACTTGAATGATGTCTTCTGGAATTCTGGAATTTAATTGGCAACGTTTAGCCGTAATATTCAACTCAAATCTTTAGAACCTATCCTACCGTCGAGATGCGGGAGAATATACGAAAATGTCACAGAGAAACAGAGATGGGTCGCTCATATTAATGAGAAGGGTAAGTGGTAGATGGGTGGAAATCGAGTTGAGCCGAGTGAATTCGAAGAGGATGTCAATGTCCTCTCTAACGAGCACCTACACGGTGAGCTCATGTGTTCGTGCCCTACTTCAGCAATCCAAATTCGCTGATAGGAATGTTTGATGGATCGGAAACGGAAGGAGACTCGCGGTCTTCACCACGTTCGAATCAGGCCACCACCATGGACGACGATTGCGCGGGAGAGAAGCGAATGGAAAACGTCCTGGGGCCTGCAATGTTCGAGAAGACGTACCGTCCAAACATCTATGTGGGTGCACTTTTGTCACTACTCTGAAATTCAAAAAGTTTGAAAGTGGCGCGTGCGGCCGAAGGCGCCCTGCAACACATAAGGGATCGATTCTCACACCCGTGGTCCACCGAGCCTTCTATTCCTCCGGGGTCGACAAACTGGTACCAGACATGTTTAGGAAAATAGCACCAATGACTCGATGCATCGCTAAGTCACCGCGAGTCACTGTAAAGGGCAGATATGTATTCAATCACCGCCAAACGATGCTTATTGAAGTCGAATGCATTGCGCATCCCTCAGGGATTGATCAACGCCGATAGCTTTATCCTTTTGGATTCCTCGGGATGTCAAAAGCACTGAAAGAAGACCGTCGACCCGATGGTCAGAGTTCTTCACGAAAAGCCTAGGAGAAAGAAATGATGCTCAACGAGTCCCTAGTGCGAGCAGAACCCACTGGGCTACTCTTGCATGCGAGAGGGAAAAGTCGAAGATTTACTCGCGCCTGCTCGAGTCATTCGACGACCAACGGGCCAACAGGTGATGCAGGTGACTCTGAAATTTGATAGTCTTTCGTTTTTGTAGAAACCTTTTCTGTCATTATGTGCTTTATACCGACAGAGTTTCATAGATATTGCTGAAAAAAATTAAAAATAAGAATCATTTTTGTTTTTGGAAACGATTTAACTTATTTACTGCTGGAACCCAACACTTCCATGCTGTTGTCTTCGTTCTGTTGTCTTGTAATCGTCATTCATGGAAGCATTGGAGCTCGAGTCTTGGTTCCGTTGTGATTTGAAAGTCGGAGTGAACGCCATTTGTGGGCACAACTATTCTACGCTGGCCGGGAGTATGGGCGGTCCTTTTGAGTTCTCCGTGGTGATTCTTTCGATAATTTTAGAATTCACATTATTGCTGCTTTCATTCATCAAATCTACGGTCTCAAAGAGCATTAACCTTGCTTTTGCATGATTGAGAAGGACCACAATATTATCAGTAAAACGACAGGGTACACCAAGTTCTTCCACTCAGTTGCCACAGATTGAGGTAGAAAGTAGGTGGCCTTGTGGGAATAGTCCTTGAATCACTTATGGAAATAACTTCGTTGTTCATCCAGTTTACTTAATTGCTTTATGTTCTTGTGTATAATAGTCTAGGACTATGACGAAAGCTCAGTTTTCCTAAGAATACGGATGCAAATACGACTGAATAGCGGAAATGGGAATTCACTCCGTACAGTTGAATTGGTTGTAGTAACAGTGTTACTGTAGTAGAATACACATTTGCTTTTATTCTCCAATGGACCAACTTCTTTGCAATGAGCTGTCTTATACTGAGATGTAGAGATGGATTGCCTGTATCACATGTGATCTCTCATTCATTAAGTTCATCCAAAGTCTTTCTTTGTCACTATCACTTATCAGCTATGTGACCTCATTCCGCTTGAGAGACGCATAGAGCACAAAAATCTTCATACATAAAAACTGCTGATTACTGACCTTGGTCTTCCCTATGAACGTGGTTGAATACTGACTGAGTAGATTCTCCATAGAATCCTGGGTTTGCTGTCCTAGGGCGTTGCCAAATCTTTGCCACAAAGAATCGCCACTTATCACTAGCTACTTTTCAGATTTCTAAATATTAGAAACATCGGCTTTTGTAACGCATCCTAATTTTTCATAGATGATATTAGTTGACTTCTTACCTTTGTTTTTGCAACCCCTAAATTTTGTTTTTTCAGTGGAGAACAGCTACTTATTGCTGTGTTATGCTAATAACCCTAAAGAATATTTAAACATTCAAATAAATTCAGTGAACTATGCCAAACGCGCATCAGCTCAAAAAGACCAGTTTATAAGACCATATAAATAAATAAGCAGAGGTAATTCCTTCGAGATGGCGCGTATAGCGCAGTGGTCGGAGGAACACATGGGATCGATCCCAACACCCCAGACTCACCAAGCCTCCAACCCCTCTGGGTCGGCGATTTGACACCAGACCTGTCTGGGAAAATAGCAGCACTGGCTCGATACATCGACAGGCCACCGCGAGTCATTGTAAAGGCCAGATATGCATTCAGTCACCTTCATCGATGCGTAATGAGGTCGAACGCAAAGTGCATCCCTCAGGGATAGACCAACGCCGAGAGGTCTTGCTTTTAAGTCTATCGTGCCTGTGTTTGTTTTTTCAATTTTTACTTTGCGGACTTATTGGTGGAGTTTGTCAGGAGCCGTTAAATCCACTGCGTTGTAGGCATATTCGATAGTGTCCATCGGTCGTGTGGTACGTGCGTTGTATAGTAAGGAGATGCTTAGACGACCCTTCTCCACTTGTCATGCCATCCTCAGTAGTTCGTTCATTTGTCCCTCTGGGGTCTGATAGCCGTTGCCCTTCTGCTTCGGTCGCTGCTCTGTTCTCGGATGGCGACCATCGCGGGAGGGGAGTTTCATTCTAGTTACGAGCGCAGCTCGCTCATGTATACAGCAAACACGTCGGTCCATCCGTCGCCCGACCACTCTCAATGCCGTAGTGATCCTATCTGGATCCACTCAACTCTTGCTTCCCAGTTCCTTCCATCGTGTGTAGTGGAGTTCATATTTGTCCGTTCACAACGTAAATACAGCTACTCGTGCCATAATATTTAGTTTTGAGCCACTTTATATGTTCATTTTCCATGCATTTTTTCTCTATGAGCACTTCGATGGTAACGTGTCAAGTTCAGCAGAGTACCGCAATGCTGCTGAGTAGTTCCAGTGCACTAATGTGTCACTATTCGTGGGCCATGCAATGAACTAGGATGGTGTTTTGGTACTTGCGTTGCCTTACCAATCGATCGGCGACGGGATTGTATAACGCGTTTTTGAGATGGGAAGTTTTAGAGGTCAGTTGTAAACCATGACGTTGTTGCCAAAACAGAAACCCACATTGGAGATTTACAAGCGTAGGCTAGAGTTTTCGATTTTTCTTAACCTGTTGATGTTCTTTAACTACGCGGAAAGTGCAGCAATTAGAGGTGCCATGCAACAATAACGTATGGCCGCTGGTTCGAACTCAGCCAAACCATGCCGCTCTTCGCTGCGGGCTCGGGAACTTGCTACCAGACTTTTAGACATTTCTGGAAAGCTCCAGGCTATCCCATTAAGTGGCGATTCTTTGTAGCAAAGATTTGGCAACGCCCTAGGACAGCAAACCCAGGATTCTATAGAGAATCTACTCAGTCAGCATTCAACCACGTTCATAGGGAAGACCAAGGTCAGTAATCAGCAGTTGAGCTCAGTGGAAATCCGAAGATCTGCTTGGATGGCAGATGCGAATTGAACTTGAATCACCATGATCTAGACAATATCGTGTTTTCAGCTTTTGTCTGGGAGTTTGCAAATAAAAGGGTAAAGGATAAAGCCCTCGGCGTTGATAAGTCCCTGAGGGATGCACAATGCGTTCGACTACATTAAGCATCGTCGGGAGGTGAATGAATTCATATCCGATTTTTACAATAACTCGCGGTGGCGTACCGATGTATCCAGTCAGTGCTGCTATTTTCCCAGACAAGTCTGCTACTAATTTGCCGACACCGGAGAGATGGAAGGATGGGCCATGGGCGTGGCATCGAGGCCACGCGTGTGTTGCAGGGCGCCTCCGACCACTGAGCCACATACCCCCTCAGGTTTGGAGATAAAAGTGATATTTTGGAAAGGGCCAAATATGCCATTAAAAATCTAAGATGATGTTTGTTCTATAGCTGAACCCTTCAAGTCTCCAAGTGCGCTGACTAGGAAATTCGTTGACTGTTGTCTAAGAATTCACACTATCGCGCTGTTGCTTAGCGATCAATTTTTGGGTTTTTCTTTAAAAGAAGGGAAGCCCTAATAAGCAATATCCAGAGTTGCTAATCAGGCGGATACGTTAACGTGACTTTAAGAGAATTTCGTTAACCATGCATGCTTTTTCCTAATAAATACTTGACCAATATGACCTCAAGATCGCGAATCTAACATGTAGAGAGATTTCTCATTAGCCCACGAAAAGTTCCTAGCATAGTTTAGTTATCACCAGCGGGCCACTCAACCGAATCTGTAATGACAGCTATCTAACATCGGAATCCACGTCGTTCTCCAAGCCTTACGTAATGGATTCGGTTGTCAGAATCATCTCTACGCTTCTTTAAAGCAGTGTGACGAAGAAGGTGGAGGAAATCGTTGAAGTATCAAGCGACGTGTGTAGCGCAGTGGTCGGAGGTGCCTTACAACATGAGATCGATACCCGCGCCCAAGGCTCACCAAATATTCTAATCCTCCGGGGTCTCCAAATTGGTACCAGACTTGTCTGGGACGATAGTGGCACTGGCTCGATACATTGGTAAGCCAGCGCGAGTCATTGTAAAGGACAGATATGCATACAATCACCTCCAACGATACTTGATGAAGTCGGATGCGTGGCGTATCCGTCATTGACTGGTCAACGCTGAGAGGCTTAGCTTTTTTACCAGGTAATTTTGCGTACTACTTGGAGCGCTTCCAGACGGTTATCTTTTAGGTCCACCGGATTTACCATGTATGTTATAAATTATGAAGAATGGACATGAGTGCTGTGTGATATCAGATATGCTGACGTGCTATCTGACATGCTTCTACGTGATATTCGCTATCGTCCACGGACCGCTTGCGTTGCTTATCAACGGCAGTAATGGGTATTTAACTGGGCATGGTCTCATTTCTTCTCAAGTCGAACAAGGTCCGGCTGAGCCATCTTCGCCTTTCACCACAACTGCTCGGTGCGTTTCAGCACAGCCCACATTTCCCACGCCGTCCTTTTTTCTTCACATTTTACATAACCCGTCATCATATCTACTTTGCGGATCGCAGCACTTCTCTCATTCTATTCGTTTTCCTCACATTCATCGTCCACAGTGGTCTGCGACCATGTCGCTTGTTGTTTCAGTTGATGCTTAAGGATTTCATCATCTTCATGAATTTCGTAGAATATTAGTCGAGTTAATTCTTCGTTTAATCTTGGCGATAGCCGGGCTAAGGCGTTCCTACGTGGATTGTAGGAGAACGTCGGGGTGCGTATCGAACTAACGCATTTGCTTCCTGATCGACGACATCACTAACCACTGCGCTCTCCCAGGCCGGTTATCATTTTATTCGACAGAATAGATCAGGTTCTGTAGAGACAGTTTATGGTTTGTACGTGCGGCATAAGGTTAAGTGTTTGCAATTGTCGTGGTTTGTTCCAGTTCTTTCAAAGTTTCTTCTCGTTTGGGAATCGTGTTGTATTGTCGCGTTGCGTCGTGTCTGTTTGTGCCGCGGATACAGTTACGTTTTTCTTTCGTGTTTAATGCTTAGTTCTATCTATAGGTGGAATCTTGTGGGCTTTATCAATATGGCTGCGTTCTTGAAATCACAAAACAAAAGACTTATCGGAGGAATACTTGCTGCCTTAGGAGGTACCACCGCGGTGTATACCTTCACTCCACAGGTGAGTTCACTTCATCAAGACGGCATTCGACAACGAACTCGTCCATTTAAGTTTTCTCATGTTATTTCTTTGTTAATGGAATAGTTATTTCAATTTGCGATATTCTCACTTATCAGTTTTACTGTCTAAGCTTCTGTATACGGAATAGGGAAAGCGAAACATTCTGGGCGTTCACCTAGAAATTCAGTGTTTTGGCAAATTGACACTGCATATTTACCTACGGTTTACCGTCTCATCGTGGTTGGGAGATGTTCCTGGTTGTCGGGCTGCGATGTACAACGGAGGGATTTTCTCCCCGGCAAGATCTCCTAAGCTGAGACGGAGTCCGGCGTTTCCAATAGGAAGCCTACCTAAGAGTAAACCAATGCCAAGATTTACCATCGTCCTAGTATCAAACTAGTCGCGTGGTGGCAAACCTCCCTTGATACAGAAGGGCGGGGACTACCTGTGGTGGTAACTACTTGGGGCACACTTTGACCAGGCTGACCTCGGGACTCCAGGGAAAACAATGGCTAAACTAGCAAAACACCGCAAAATAGAGATTATACTTGAGCCAGCACAACCATATGAATAACAGTTCGTATGAAGAAATGTTCCTGCAAAAAAAACCTGATAAATGGTTTCAATTACTGAGGTATTTTCTATATGGTGTGCTAGTTGTTCTTAGCTTAGGTGGAAACGTTTTTTGGGTCAAGCGCTGATGCTGCCACGGTGAAAAAAATTGAAGAAGGATACGCCAAACTTAACGGACCTGAAGGGAAGAAGTGCAAGTCGCTGCTAAAAAAGGTACATATGTTTATTATAGTTGACCAGTTGGAAGGAAAAATGTTAATGACTAGGTGGACGAACTGAGGTAGTACAGTTTCACTCTTCGCTGTCTTTTTGCTTTTTTCTTTTTGAAAGGTTAAATAGGAAGTGTGGCCCCTGAACAAAGAACTGTTCGTTTAACATAGAAGTTAAAAATGTGGTACAAATCGGTAGTAGGAAGTAACAGAGTTTCTTCTTGTTGTTGTGAAGCACTTCTTTTTCCAGCATTTGACGAAAGATGTTATGGATAAGTTGAAGTACAAGAAAACCAAGCTTGGGGCTACTCTTTATGATTGCATACGATCAGGTTAGTTAATCAGTATTTTGTTCGTCTTGCTTCAGAGCTGAAATAGGGGTTACCAGTTTTGGACTGAAAACGCTGGTCAGGATATACAAATAATGCGCTCACCACCACACCATGCGGGTCCTTCGTTTCGTCTGTTTTTTAGCTAGTCCTCTGTCGACCAATGCAATCAGCATCTATCGACCACTACCATCATGGTGTGGTGGTGACCGCGTTAGCCCCGAGACGGTTAATAGCGTTTGTTCACCAGTACAGATACTTGCAGTCCGGAGTTTTACAAATATTTCAGCACCGTTATGGCTGTATTTCACGTAATGCCCTGCCGTGAAAAAATTGTTGTAGGCAGCAAATAAAAAGTTATCAATGCTCATGATGTCCATGCTGCGTATTTCTCCATCGTTCATCTTTTTTCAGTACGTACACCGCGTTTAGGATTCCGTCCCGGCTAGGTTATTTTCCCTACCGCTGCACACGTACCATAGTGACAAGGAGTGTTTTTGAGTGATCAAACTGAGACGTACTATGCCGGGAATCGTCGTAATTAAATATCATGTTCCATGGCAATTCAATGGATATGAAGTGAAAATTTTTTCAAGCAGAGCTAATGTTTCCAAACAGCTGTATACCCTTTCAGCGATACCGCAGGATAACTTATATAGGACCGTTGTATCCCTATGTTCTCAAGTACTCTATTTATCGAAATCCTGTCGACACGTATCAGAAAACCAGCGTCTTCCCGAAAGAGTTGAAATGAATGTAGCATTACAGTGGGAATCATTTTAATTCTTTAAGGTCTCAGGAACTCCCTTCTAATTTTTTGCATCTCCTGCACATGGTCTAATTCCAAGACGGTAAAGACCATGCTAACCTCTTTTCTATGTACAGGTATCTACAACCTTGATGCTGGCGTTGGTGTCTACGCTCCTGACGCCGAATCCTATCGAGTAAGTTGTAAGGAATGAATGGAAGTCTTTAGCCTTTTAGATTTTTCTAGTTTTGCTTATTATCATTCCTTATTTCCAGACGTTTTCTCCACTGTTCGATAAAATCATAGAAGATTATCACGGTTTTTCTCCAAGCCAGAAACAACCTCCTGTCGATCTCGGTGAGGGAAAAATACATGAGTTCCCTCCGTTGGATCCCAAAGGAAAGTACATCAAGTCCACTCGCATTCGTTGCGGACGTTCCCTTGCTGGATATCCGTTCAATCCGTGTTTGACTAAGGTACATCTTGTGTTAATGGAGGCCACAAAGCTTCGCACTTTTTCCTCCTCTAATTGCTTCAAAAGTTTAGGAAAACTATTTGGAGATGGAAAAGAAAGTGAAAAGAGCCTTTGATTCTTTTACGGATAAAGACCTGAAAGGCAAATATTATCCACTGGATGGGATGACAAAAGAAACACAAGACAAACTTATTGCTGATCATTTCCTGTTCAAGGAGGGAGATCGTCATCTCCAGGCTGCTAATGCTTGCAATTTCTGGCCTAAGGTAAACTAATCGTAGTCCAACTAAAGTTTATTTGTTCACCATCGATGATATATTACCAGGGACGTGGCATTTATCACAATAACGACAAAACCTTTTTGATCTGGGTAAACGAAGAGGATCACATGCGTATAATTTCTATGCAGGAGGGCAGTGATGTAGGACAGGTCCTGGAGCGGCTAATCAGAGGAGTAAAAGTAAGTTATTCGGTTAGACATAAACACCGTGAGGCAGTCATCCCGTGGGTTACGTTTATAGAGTGTAAACACTGTCACACTTTTTTGTTTTCATAGCAGCCAGTTTCCTTCCTGTCGTAGATATCTTCTTTCTCTGAAATATTTAAAACGACGTTGATCTTAACTGAGCTTCTTTTGAAATTTAGAGCATTGAAAAAGTGGTACCATTTTCTCGTGATGAGCGTCTCGGATGGCTGACTTTCTGCCCGACTAACCTCGGTTCAACAGTCCGTGCTTCTGTACATATCAAATTGCCAAAACTTACTGCTAGGAAGAAAGAATTCGAAGTGAGTTCAGGATGAGTCAGCGTTCCAGTTTAATGCAAAATAGTTAAGGTGCTTTCTCTTATTTATTGGAGTATTCGCTGTCTTCATCTGCGTTTACATTTTTAGGCCATGTGTGAGAGACTAAACTTGCAAGTGCGTGGTATTCACGGAGAGCACTCTGAGTCAGAAGGAGGAGTTTACGACATATCTAACAAAGTATGCGCTAAAGTAATCCCAATGTTTCTGTACTTGTACTTTCTTGAGTTGTTATAGGCTCGTCTTGGTCTTTCTGAGTACCAGGCTGTGAAACAAATGTACGACGGGGTTAAGGCTCTTATTGCTGCAGAAGAGAAACTTTAGGGTACTTTTATCTTGATTTCGTTGTAGTAAGAGAGTAAATGGCAATGTACTTTGTTTTTCTCGTGGCAGCGAAGTCCATAGCAATAAATATAGTGCTATAGCGAAGTGTTGATGGAATAAATGGATGGAGAAAACGAGTGCAGTATGCATACTGCAACTAGAAGTGCATGTAGTGATATCAGTCCAGAAATCATTATTGGTTCCTAATCTACAGTGTATTATATCTCTATATTGCACTTTACAACGAGCTTTACTAGTCGTTTTTGTTAACGGAACACAAGTTTAATTATTCTGGTAAGTTCAATGTTTCTTGGAATTTTTGCAGTATTTTGGGGCTTTACGATAGTTGTTGAGGTGCTCGACAGTAGCTGTAAGTCGACTGGCGAAAGGCCCTGTGAATGCAGTGGGTGAAACTCGCTTTTCCACTTTGAGACTTCGGTTCGTGGCTCATTCCTTCATTTTCCTGAAAGTACTTCGCTATTTTAACGGTTTTCTTGGGAACGACGAACTTCTACCATCACTTGAACCTTGTTTTGAAGAGGACTTGACCTTGCTCCCCTTTGTTCAGGTACTACGCTAAACACCGCAGCTTGGCAAGTGGTAGTTTTTGTTGAGATGAAGAAGTGCAGATCAGATTTCATAGTGATGACATCCACTGTTCATCTAATTGATGCAGCAGTTACTTTTCGACGTTTTCTTTGCTTTCCAATTTTGTTGAGGTGCTCGCTAACTCTTGTTTCACGTACACTTTGTTCTTTCGCCGATTATAAAATCACTGATAAGCTGTCTAACTTTCCGTCTTCAAATGGTCGGTATGACGGATGACGGATTTTTATGGGCAACCCGCTTTATATTCCCATCTTATTAACTCTACTTTTGAAGTCTACCATCAACTCGTTAGTGTTTCTCAAGCCAGATGCAAGGCTGATATGTGCTGCAGTGGCATAGTATACATATCTGCATTCGACAGTGAACTGGTCTTCCTTGTTGGCCTTCTTTATTACAATAGCATTGTTTAAATACCAAACAATTTATTTGCATCAGTTTCACACGACACTTTTCCACATCTACTGTCCGCATGCCAAGACGTTTTGCATCCGATTTGTTTCCTCGCATCCATCGTCCAGGTAGTTCTCGCTTGTGGGTTCGGCTGCTGCTTGAGGACTGCCTTCTTTATGAATGTCGTTGAATGCTGGTCGAGTCGATTCTCCGTAGAGTTCTGGGATAGCCGAGCTAGAGCGTTGCCCCTTGGATTGCAGGGACTCGACCTTGTACTAGACTACACTTGACGCTTGACACTTGAACGGCCCGTCCTCAATGGTTGTGCGGGTCCTAGCATAATCACCACTTATCGGAGATTTGCTGGTTAAGCCGTTGTGGTTCCCTGGTATCCCGAGGTCAGCTTGGCCAAAGTCTGCCCTGGGTCTTCACCACCACGGGCAGTCGCAACACTTGTGGATCAGAGGGAGATTTGCCACCATGTGACTTTGATACCAGGGCGGTGGCGGATTCTGTTATTGGTTTACTCTTAGTTAGGCTTCCTAATGGAAACGCCGGGCTCCTCAGCTTGGGACCCTGCCAGGTAGACAAATCTCCCCGTTTTACATCGCAGTTCGACACCCAGGAACACCTCCCAGCCACGATGAGACGGTAAACCGTTGGGAGCACTAGACTGTATAGCTGGAAGAAATTACCACAGCAACGCAGAGCGAATTTTGTGTCTTCAAATTGTTTATGAACACAAGAGGACACATGTAGCGCGGTGGTTAGAGGTGGCCTCTAGTATTTCCATCCACGACCAGTTTGTTGATTCGATCCAACGACTTGTCCTCAACGTGCCCTCCATTTCTTGCTATTCAGCGAGTTGATGCCAAACATATCTGGAAGGATAGTAGTACTGTCCTGATACATTGAAAGAGGCGGACAGCAAGTCACTGTATGGAGTAAATATGCGTTCAATCACCACCTCTACGATGCTTGACGAAATCGAAGGCATGGCCCATAAATTGATCAGCGACGTGCTTTTTACCCCTTATCCCTCATGAAACAATAAGTGAGTATTTAAAAACGACATGCGAAATGTAAAAGAACAAGACCGTCATCACTCCGACAACCAAGTTGTGATTAATTTCGTGACGCCATTCTGGTCTAAATTAACGTAAAGGTACGTTATGTTTTGAAAATATTGTAACGCTCACCTATTCACCTATGTATAAGCTATAGCGAGCTTGAAGTATTGAGAAGATATGATTACACTTTATGAAGTAAAAAGTGTCGCTTACGGTTGGTATTCGTTTTATGAACACCTCAAAGATGTCATAGAATTAAATTAGGAAACATGATGGTTTTATTGTCCCCAGAGGATGATTTTTTATGAGAAACAAACGGAATCAGGTTTCTAAGGGTGAATTCGTAGTTTTTCAAGGTTGCAGAAAATTCAAAGGACCGACTCCAAGATGGGGTTAATGATAACAGCAGTTACTACCATTGACATGTATATTACTACTCACGAGGATGCGTAGCCACATGGGATCGATCCCCGCGTCCCTGGCACACCAATCCTTCTATCTTTCCCGAGTCGACAAATTGGTGCCAGACTTGTCTTGGAGGATAGCAGCACTGACTCGATGCTTCGGTGGGGGCACCGTGAGTGATTTTAAAGGCCAGAGATGCATTCAATCATCTCCAACGATGCTTAATGAAGTCGAACGCATGGCGCATCCCTTAGAGATTGATCAACGCCAAGAGCTTTATCATTTATCTTTTTTTTTTACTACCCATCACTATCCATTCATAAAGGATATGAATTGGACCACAGAACGTAAATTATCCCCGAAAGGTAAGTCTTATGGCTTCTATTCTCATGTATACTTAAATCATGAACAGTATTTATTTGAAACGAACATCATTAGAAGGGGCACGAAATGGTGCGCACGAAGGAGTATAATGTTTATGGACTCACTTAATAAAGGTCTATGGAACAAGCGCTGCACAGGTCGTGGTGATCTTCTTTCGAGTAGAACTTCTGGAGTGGTTCTCTAAGGTGAACTTACAGCGAGGTCCTCAGTACATGAATTCAATTAAATCGAATGAAGTGTGTATCGCGCTGTCAAAAGGCGAGTGCACGACAAGCGTATAACGTAAGTGAAGTGTAAAATCTTCCGGATCGGAGTCCATTGGCAAGTGGTGGATTCATGGATATTATCGAAGATTCGTATCTACGACACTCTAGCTGTCAACCTGAACAGAACTCAATTTTATGAAACCTGAATCGGTTTACTTTACTGGGAAATGCGGGCAACATTATGGAAGAGTTGAGCTGTCATTAGTTAGGAGAGTGTAGAGTTATAATTACATTCTTAGGCCCACGTAATGGAAAACTGTGTGGAATTTTTTATGCATTGGTTGCTGCAACAGCTAGTTTCTTAATGTGGAAATCATCTTCATTTAAAAATACAATTTTTAAAAATCATGAGGATACAGCTCTTAGGTACGGATATTGTGAGTACGCATCGCAACAGTATCTTAGTGAAGTGCTGACTGGGCGACATCACTGCATAGGATGCGGTATCAAGGAATTAACGGACTAGTCGGGATATTATTTTCTTATTAGAAAGCTACAAGGCTCTTTGAGGCTCAGTGCAAGAATATTTGTCCAAGCCAAGCTGTATTTCACGGGTACAAGCGGACGCCTGCGTCAGAGCTTCAGATTACAGCCGAACTCAGAATTTTTGATACAGTTGCTAAGCATTGGTCATCATAGGCTTGTTTAAATCGAGTCTGCACTTGCTGCATATCTTTGCGAGATTTTCAAAACTTGAGTTTGTTCCCCTACTTTTGAAGGTTTCAATTCTGAACATATTCCACTTCGAAAAGATACTATATTAAAGCATATATATACATAAAAATGTATATGTATATACTCATCTATATATGCATATGTATATGCATGTATATATGCATATATCTGTATATACATATGCAAAATATAACATCTAAACATTTTTGATTGAAGGAGTACTGTGTGAAAGCTTTATATAAACCATGTAATTTTCAGCCTCTCGAACACTTTTATGATCAAAAAATCGTTGTCAGTAACCGAAAAGCTGGCTTCGTGCGTTCTATAGGTTTATAGAAGAGAGTTTGTCCTATTATCTCAATTGTATTTACAACTCTTATACAGTACCTATTCAGTTTCAAATATATTTCGATTCAAAATTCTCAACAAATCTAAGCTGAAATTCGAATTTTTGAAGTTTCCAACTCTGACGCAATGACTGCCAACATTAACGATACATTAGGAAAGAACAACTTGTGCTGCCGGAGCAAACCCGCTTGATCAGTTGTGGCACTCATGTTCGAAATACGACCCTTTACGAGAAACAAGTGAAATAATAGGCTTTCTGGCTTTTTAGATTGTAACAATTCCATCACAGTAGAAGAAGGAGCTTGTGTTTCGCAGCAAAAAATTTGCTGATTCCATTGGTTTTTCCTTTAATTAATAAAGTTCCGTATGTGATACGTTGATTGAAATTGACAGCCTTTCGCAATGGATGCATTGGATTCCATGCATATCGGGTGATTATATGATAAATAGAATCATAATATTAAGGTGAAACTCACTGTCTACTCCATGCTGATAAATAAGGGTTGCGATATATATATATATATATATATATATGCAAATATACATTTGTATATACGTATATATTAAACGATGGGTTCAATCTCGCTCCAGGCTCACCAAATCTCTCATCCACACGGGTTTGGGAAATTGCTGGTTGACTTGATTAGGACAATCTTACCTCTATATAATGCTGAGGTATTTGCAAAACTCCGAACTGCAGGTGTATGCGGTGGGGAACGAACGCGCGCTGTTGTCCTTACCGGGGAGTTATATACGAGTTACATCTCAGGATTATCTGACTCGACTGAACCAGTATTTAACGATATTCGTGACGACGACTAGAAAATCCTCAAACAGCAGTCGAACTCATACA